GTGTATTCTGGTATTTATTGACTTTTTAAATTTCCAGACAGTTTAAGTGTAAGACAAATATTGACAAATACAGGTTGAAATTTTTAAGATACACTTTTGTATTTTAATATGATGGATAAGTTGAGTGATAATTTGCTGAGATGGTATTTTTTTATTATTTAGTTCCCCTCAAAATTATATCCCCTTTTATATATCTGTTTGATAAGCAAAGACGAAAAGAAATAATCTCCCAAGTAATTTTCCTCCCCCGGCCGTACAGACTCGTATTTTTACTTTTCTTTCCTCTTCTTCCTTTTCATCTCTCTTTTTCATTTTATTTTAAATTCTTTTTCTTTTTAGAATGGGATGATTTGGACAAAATGTTATTTACTCTCTCTTGCTCTCTCTTCCCAGGGACGCATCAGTGGAGAACCTTGCCTACCTCAGCAGCGAGCAGGCCCTGGCTGATCTAGCAACATTCACAGTCGCAATGCAAGAGGAGCTTGGCCTGAAGGAGAACAAATGGATTGCATTTGGGGGTTCATACCCTGGTTCGCTTGCTGCTTGGTATCGGTTGAAATACCCACACCTCGTACATGGGTCAGTTGCCACAAGTGCTCCTGTGGTTGCACAGATTAATTTCAAAGGTTAGATGAGATCGGTTGTTGTTTGATAAACTATCGATTTTCAATAGTATTTAGCTATGTTTGTCTTCTGATTGTTTAAGGCTATTAAGTGATTGTGGATTGTTTTTGTCTACTTTTTGTTATAAAGATTCAATAGTGTCTGTCCATATAAGTTGGTAATTGAAAAGTCCAAAAGGATTCTATATCATTTTGTTACTGTGTCCGTCAGCATTACTTTCAATTTTATTAACTGCATTACAAAAAGAAAAAAAAAAAACACATCATTAGGTTTTCATTTAGAACAGAATTTCATTCTATGATACATCAGACATTCATTCTTGTCCGTTCCAAGCACTCGCCAAGTAAAAACAAATTAAATTCTTATTCCATTTAAGATTGACATTCGGCATTTTTACAGAGTACCTTGAGGTTGTGCGAGATGCCCTTGCCACAGTGAACGACAAATGTGACGAGGCCGTGAAGGAAGCAACGCGCCAGCTGAACATGCTCTTGCTGCATAGGGTTGGATGGCAGAGCATAACGAAACGGTTCAAGTATGTTTTGATGTTTTTAGATGAGAATTCTGGTGTTTGTGTGAGTACTTAAGATTTGTTTTTTTTTTCCGATAGGTAGGAAAAAAATTGTTGAAAATAAAACATGTTTTGGAGCTGTCCCACTTTTTTTGTTATTGATAATACACACATGATATTAGAACTAGATGAAGTTCATATTCTAGATATACTATTATATGGATATTATTATGGCAGTATTAATTAAAGCTGAGTAATTAATTGTATGATCTACTGTTAGCTATAATGGTATTCGGTTTTATACTTGGAATCCTTGTGTTGTCCAATGTTGATATAGATTTTGAGGGTGACTTTCAATTTCCTTTTTCTCCTGTATTTTTTTCTTAATATTTTCTTTACCCTTGTCTGTTCCTCGTCCATTCCTTCCACTATTCTCCTTTCCTCTCTTTACTTGCTTTTCTTATCCATGTTTTCCTCTTTTCATTTTGTCCTCCCTGGTACCCGTTTTACTTTTCTTTCCTCTTCTTCCTTTTCATCCCTCTTTTTCATTTTCTTTTACTATTCTTTTTCTTTTTCTCCTCTTCTTTTACTCTTCTCTTTCAGTTCTTTTCTTTTCTCTTTCATCTTTTTGTTTTTCTCTCTCCCTCTCTTTTCTCTTTCTCATTTTCTTTCCTGCTCCTTGTTTTCTTTTATTTTCATTTTCTCTCCTCATTTCTATCTTTATTTCTTCCTTCTCATTTTGATCCTCCTGACTCCATTTTTGTCTGGTTAATTGCTCTTTCATCTTGGATTGTGTGCTTCCTCTTAAATTTGCTTAATCCTCTCTTCCTTCTGACTTTGCTCTCAGCTTTGACTTCCCTCCTGTTGTACGTAGCAAAATCTCTGTCAACAGGCTGTGTTCACCGCTGGACGGGCAGAACAAGAAAGACGTCGCCAACTTGTTCTCAATCCTGACCGAGAACCTTGAAGATGTGGTGCAGTATAACAGGGACAACCGGGACTTCGAGGGTGTGAAGGGCACCAATATTACCATCGACACTTTATGTGACATTATGTTGGATGAATCGCGGGGGCCGGCCATCACAAGGTGAATTTCACCATTTATTTATTTATTTACTATATTTATTTAACAATTCTTTATGAGATATTTTTTCATGTGTTTTATTCACAGTTAACATTTAGGGTTTCAGCAGGTGTGCTTTCAAGATGTGTGATGATGTGTGATTGTCATCATCATTTATTCAGAGTGTAATGAACTTTAACATATTAACTTACCTATATATTCTATACTGTTTCAAATTACTATAGTTTATTAGGTAAGAGTAATGATATGACTCCTATTAAAAGAGAGACTATTTACCTATTTTTGTCAGATATGCAGCCATTAACTCCCTGGTTCTTGAAGTGCATGAAGAGGAGTGCTTGGACCACACATACGACTCGATGATAAAGGAACTAAAAGCTACTAATTGGGAAAACAACACAGACATTGGAGGTGCAGTAATGCTACTTTTCACATTGTTTTTGGCTCTCCTTGTACCCTTTTTTTTCCTTTTGTACTTTACTTTTCTCTCAGCTGTGTAGAGTCAGAGCACAAGAAAACATTTTTGAATTTTTCACTTGCATTGTGTGTGCAAGTGCATGTGAATATGGCTTCATTATTTCCATAACATTAAGTTGTGGTCTCCAAGGCAAGCTATTGAATGATTGTCTTGTATCAAGAGACTCTACAATTCTTGTACTAGTCATATGAACTAGGGTCATCTTTGTTCAGTATTTATTAAGATCATGCATGGTGACCAAGTAAGAGAGAATCATTCACCAGATTTTAGTTGTTTTTGTGGCTTGTCAAGAGCTACCACGTACAAGTTGCTTAATCTCATGACTTTTCAGAACACTGATTCTGATCAAATGATATTTATTTTCTTCAAAAATGTTGTGTACTTAAAGTGAGGTAATATTTTTGGTCACCTTAGTAACTTAATGGGTACTGTTTGGCTTTCAGATATTTTTTTTTGTGTCCAAACTCAACTTTTTTTTTTTTTTTTTGAGTGTACATTTTTTTTTGTAGTTTACATTTTTTTATTTTGCAGTGAACATTTCATTATAATTACTACATCCCTGAAATGTCTTTGCTCTTTCACAGCCCTTATTACATTTTTAGGTACACTACTATCAGTTGCTTGTGAAACAAAAGAACTGGACATCATAATGCAAGTGCATTTCTCATTAGTAATTTGGTTGTATTAAACAGTGCATTCCAAAGTTTACTGTCCTTTAGCAAGCAACAGCATGTACCACTTCCAGCACAAGAATACCTCTTGATATATGGAAATTTAGTTCTCATTGTTTTTGTGCAGTATCTTATAAGGTTCTGGAAAGTCATTCATTTTTCGTATACTTACATGCGAGTTCATAGAAAAAAGTAGATTAGACATTTCTGAAACTTTATTTATGCCTTTCTGCTATATATTTACATATTAAAGGTATATTTGTTTCCTTCTTTTATTCTTTATGTATGAAATGATATTTGAATTATACGTAATACATCTCTATTTTATTACTTTCCCTTTTTATACACACAGGACGGTCATGGATCTACCAGACTTGCACGGAATTTGGATTTTACCAGAGCTCTGACTCTTTAAATCAACCCTTTGGTAATGAATTCCCTGTCAATTTCTTCATCCAGCAGTGTCAGGATATTTATGGGGAAAAGTGAGTATTGTCAAGTTGTAATGTGTACAGCCATGGAGCTAAATGTTGAATATAAAAGATGATGAAGGATGTATTTAATTGGAGTACTTTTTAAGCCCATTTTTTTCCTTTAACTCATTCGTACTGGGTAAAAATGAACAAAAAATGGGGAAAATGCTGTGCTCATTTTTTATATTTTTTTGTGAAATTTCTCTACACTAGATGGCTCTACCTTACCTGATTTCACCTTTACTTGAATTGGCGGGAAAATGTATTTTTACTAGTGTTATGAATATCGATGGTTATTTTTATTATAAACATTATAATTACTATCATGTTATAAACATTAGTAACAGCAAAATAAGATAACGCAAAATAATTTCGTAAATTAAAGAAAAGGGTAAACAGGCGAGACAGGCAGTACAAGTACAAGTGTAGCCATCTATGTGTGAAAACAATTAAACAAGTAAACTCACAGTGGGCCTGTCACGTATACGTGACGCCCGGCGTGAATGGCTTAATGCTCTATGTAAATGTTAGTGGAATACTTAGTCATGTAGACCACTAAATAAAACATAACCTATTGAATGAATAAAGTAATTGCACCTATGTATTAAAGAACAAACCTAACTGATGCATTTCAAGCAACAAGAATAATTTACCACTACATTTCATCCACATTTTATTCAGGTTCAACCTTGATCTCCTGAAGGAAGGCGTGAAGCGCACGAACACGTTGTATGGAGGGAAAGACCTTAAAGTGACGAGGGTAGTCTTTCCCAATGGATCGATCGACCCATGGCATGCCCTAGGGATAACGGATAACCTCAGTCCAGATGCTACTGCAATTTTCATAAATGGTAATTCATGTTCAGTCTAATGATAGTGGGTTATTTTAATCTCTATGAGTTGTATGTGTTAGTGATTTGCTGAGCCATGCCCTGTCTGTGAGATACTTATTTTCTTCTGGAATTTTTGTTTTACATATTTTATTTCTATTTCTTTTATTTTTTTCAACAGGAACTGCTCATTGTGCAAATATGTATCCTCAAGCCGCAGATGATCCACCACAGCTACTGCATGCCAGAGAGCAAGTTTTCAACCATATTCAAAAATGGTTGGAAGAATAAGTCAGTCAAGTGATTTCAAAACTGATTTCTAAATGAGT